ACATTTTTGGCTGCATCGTCCCCATGGTCTCGCGCCAGCCACACCAGCTGAAAGGATGAACCCTCTCCTGACCCAGCGTGACTACAACTTCTTTTTCAGGATTCACAGCCGTGCCCTGCGTTCGCTCCTTCGCTGCCTGTCGCCTCCGGGCTGCGCAGATGTAGCCTCCCTCTTGCTGCTGCTGGTCTCATCCCACAGCTGAACGACCGGGGGCCCTTTCTGGAGCAGCCTCAGGTACAGACTGGGGAAGTCCTCTTCCCGGATGTGCCCCATTGATTCGCTCCCACAACTCACGGCCAGGGACGCGAAGACTCGGGGCCCCGAGCTCATGTAACACGCTCCCCCCACATCGCAGCCTTCTTGGTCCTGGACCACCAGACGGTCCTTCAGCCCCAAGTGTGGGGCCATTTAGAAACAACCCAAAGCCCCAAAACACAAAACCTGTAGCAACAAAGAGACTCTGGGCAGACCCCAGCCTGCATCCCCTTGTCTTGTATGCATAAATAAACAAAATAAGTCTTTTTTTTTTTAAGATTTATTTATGCATAGAAGAACTGGGGTACAGGCCAGAGGTGCCGGGGTGAGAGGATTCACCAGAGACAGAGTGGGGAGCAGAACAGGCTATCCACAGCCTTCCCTGGGGTGCATGGTGGGAGGCAGGCGGAAGGTCTTTATCTGGCCGTTATTGTCTGAGGCCTTGATCACAAGGACACGGTTCTGCGTCTCCTGGCAGGGGAGGACAGCCCTGCAACTGGGTGGGGCTCTCGGCCTGGCTTGTCCAACCCTCAGGCATTTGCTCACGGCCTCCCGATTGACTGCTGTCCAGTCCTGGCGGCCCTTTGTCTTGGGCCGGCTCTCTCAGCTCCCCATCCTGGCCTGTCCCTGCCCTACAGGGCCTGTCCAGCCGGGTCCACCACATTCCTGGGTGAAAGAACTTGACTACGCCCGCCCGGGGCCCCTGAGCTGGTGACCTTGACCGAAAGTCCTCTCCCTGTTAAACCACCTATCAAGGGAAAGCGGGGACCTCATGGTCACATCCCAGCCCTCCTGGGGGGTTGCTTCTTGGAGGTGGAGCGTGTGGCCTGGGAAGCACTGGAGGTGTTTGTGGGCACCGGTCAGTGTTGGGCCTGCCAGGCCGCCTTCCCAGGAGAGATATCCAGGCCTCACCTGAGAGCCTCCTTCTGGGTCTCGGGGCGCTGCCCTCCCCACCAGGCGCGCTGGGGTTCTGTCCAGGTCCACTGAGCTGGTCTCCCTGTTTCTCAATAAGGGGTCACGCGGTAGCAGTAGAAACAAACCAGACGCTGGCAGTTCCCCCAAACCTCTTCCCCTTTTTCCTCTGCTCCCCAAGACCCCCTCCCTCCTCCTTTCAAAAAAAGTAGAAAAGAGCTCAGGTGCCAACGCACAGGAGAATCACACCAAACAGGGGCGAGGGCAAGTTGCTTCCCCGCGCTAGAGACGGCTGAGCACAGCCCGAATTTTCTGTCATGCACACACTCGCAATACACACTCACACATGTGACAGATGTAGCAAAAAAGTCAATGGCTTTTTCTCTGTCTATTCCTCTATATTGATGTTTTCAAAATGAGTATATATGATTTTTTAAAAAGATTTATTTATTCATGCAAGAACTGGGGTACAGGCCAGATGCGCGGGAGGGTGAGAGGATTCACCAGAGACAGAGTGGGGAGCAGAACAGGCAGACTGATGAAACACACTGCTGAGGGGAGCAGCGGGCGAGACAGGAGAGGTCTGCCACACGATGTGAGATTGTTGCCGGCCAGCCAGGAACAAACCAGCACTGCAGAGGCTGAGGACAGCTTCACAGCGCGGTGCTCACAGCGCGGCGCTCAACCGCCTGCACCACCAGGGGGCCTATATATGATTTTTATAATTATAAAAATAAATGTGTTTTTAGAGGAAATAAGAAACTCCCCACAGTGAGGAAATATGTCGTTTCAACATGCATTTGTCAAGAGAGTTTCTGTTTTGCAAAAATTAGCCAATGAGAGTCACAAAGACTTCCTCATGGGCTCACAGGACACAGAAAAGTCCTTTATAAGGGAAGAGGGGCACAAGGGGTGGGGAAACAAGCTGTTCCCGATCTCAGCAGGGGGTGGTGGGCAGGTCCCTGCATATCACAGGCCCCCCTTCAAATGAGGACATGGGGCAGAGCTGCCCCATTACGAGATCCCTGCTGGGCCCTTTTTCTCACTTAAACTGAGTGTGAGATGCTGCATTTTGAAAAGATTTATTTATCTATTCATACAAGAACTGGGGTACAGGCCAGAGGTGGAGGGGGGCTATGTGTGAGAGGATTCACCAGAGACAGAGTGGGGAGCGGAACAGGCAGATCTAACACTGCTGAGGGGGTCAGTGGGCAAGAGAGGAGAGGTCTGCTGGGCCATGTTAGTTGCTCCCTGGCCGGCTGGGGCTTGAACTCGTGCTGCAGAGGCTGCTGATAGCTTCATAGTGCTGTGCTCAACCCCCTGTGCCATCAGGGAGGCCCAAGATGCTGCATTTTGAATCTGTGCCAAAAAGGAGTTGACTTGGTCATTTATCCTGGAAGTGGTTCAGATTCAAAGTGTTCAAAATAATTTTTCTACTTTTTATTATTAGCAAGGATGCTCATTTTGTTTCTAATTTTACTCCTTTGGAAATTATCTGAACCTTTTACAGCCGTGTAAACTTAAATGGAAACATTTATTTGTGTCTTATTTAATTTCTTTCCTCATCAAAGTCTGGTAATTTTCAGAGGAGCGAACTCCCTATTTAAATTTGTTCCTAAATGGGCCTCCCTGGGGACACAAGGGGTTAAGATGCAACCTATGAAGCTCTCTGCAGCCTCTGCAGCATGAGTTCAATCCCCACACCAGCCAGGGAGCTACCCACATGGCGTAGCAGACCTCTCCTGACTCGCCCACTGCTCCCCTCAGCAGTGTATTTCAATCTGCCTGTTCTGTTGCCCACTCTGTCTCTGGTGAATCCTCTCACCACCACCACCCCCCACACACCTCTGGTCTATACCCCAGTTCTTGTAGGCATAAATAAATAAATCTTTAAAAAAAATAAATTTATTCCTAAGTATTTTATTGCTTTGGGTGATACCATCCCAGGGATTGATTTCTTTCTTTTCCAGAAAATTGTTGGTGTATAAAAATGATACTGATTTTTGCATGTTCATTTTCCAGTGTGCGTCTTTAATAAATATGTTGATCAGATCTAATGATTTTTGGGTCTTTAGGGTTTTCTGTATATACAATGTCATCTGCAAATAGAGATAAATTTACTTCCTTCCCAATCTGGATACACCTTATTTCTTCTTCTCCTCTGATTGCTCTAGCCAGACTTCCAGTGCTGTGTTGAATAGGAGGGAGGAGATGATAGAGGAAAACCCTCCGCCTTTCACTAGGGAGCATGAAGGTGGCTGTGGCCTTTATGAGAAGCCTTTGTTATGCTGACATGCATTCCTTCTGGGTATTTTTATCAGATTAGGGGAGTTTCTGCTTCTCTCTTCCTGGGGGATGAGCTCCCTCTCGGTGAGGAGAGGCCTCTGGCTAGGAGACAGCCCGGCATGAGCTGGAAGCAGGGTGTCCGCCCCTCCAGACTCCGGATGAGCGGCCCAGCCCAGGCCCAGCCACACCCAGACCTCGGAGGAGCACCGCGGGGGGCAGGCTCCTGGCGGCAGAAACGCAGGCGGAACCTGGGCGCTGGCAGCCCCGGCGGTCCAGGCGGGCCCCTCTTCGACCGCTGTCCTTGGAGACCAGGCTTCCGCGCCACGTGGGCCTCTGGGACTAGGTGCCTGTCCTGTCCCCGCCCTCCCACCCCCTCTGAGAGGGCCAGGAGCGGCTCCTCCGAGGGGTGCAGGGGTCCTGTCTCCTGAAGTGCGCTCCGTCCGGGGCGCCCCAGGTGCGCCTCCCGGTTTCTAGGGTCCCATGAGAGTGCCAGCGACCCTACCGCCACCTGACTAAAACATTTCTTTTTTCTTTTTCCTTTTTTTTTAAAGCTTTATTTATTTATGCACACAAGATCTGGGGTGCAGGCCAGAGGTGGGGGGGGGTGAGAGGACTCCCCAGAGACAGAGCGGGGAGCAGAACAGGCAGACGGACCAAAATCCACTGCTGAGGGGAGCAGCGGGGAGACCGGAGAGGTCTGCCGCGCCCTGTGGGTAGCTCCCGGGCCGGGGCTCGAACTCGCGTTCAGCCTCTGCTGTCGAGGCTGTGGTGGCTTCGCAGAGCGGCGCTTAGCCCCTTGCGCCACCAGGGAGGCCCCGACTGCAGCCTTTCTGCTGAGCAGAGCCGGGCTGTTCTGTTTGCGGTGGACAGACCGGTGGACAGACCCCCACCGTGCCCCGGGGGCCTGCGGGGTGAGTGAGAAACACTGAAGTGCCCGGGTTGTGCGGCAAAGAGAAAAGGCAAACGCTCCTCGGGGCTTTAACCTCCCCAGGGCGGCCGCCCCGTCGGGCTGCGGGCTCGGGCCGTGACCCGGGGAGGCCCCAGCGCCCGGGCGGCCTCTCAGGCGTCCGGGGCGGGCCAGGCCGGGCTGGCCGGTGACTGAGCGTTTCGGCCCCGGCGAACGCCCCTTCTCGCCGCGCGCCCGCCGCCCCCGCGGGCCGGGGGCGAAGCCCCGCTCAGGCGCGGCGCCCAGACCCGGCCGGGCTCGCCGGCACCGGGCGCCGTCTGGGCCCGCGCGGGGCGGAGGCCGGTCCCCCCCCCCCCCGCCGCGGGTCGCGGCCGTGGGAGCCGGTGACCCCGGGCGGCCCCGCGGCGGCCGGGGAGGCCGGGAGTCCGCGTCGGGACCCCCGCCCGGCAGCCCGCGACGCCCGCGTGGGCCCGAGAGGCGGCTCGGGGGGGGGGGGCCGCGGGGGGAGGCGCGCGTCACCCCTCGGCGCCGGCGGCCGAGGCGCCGCCCGGGACTACACGCCCCAGAAGGCCGCGCGCTGACCGGCGTCCCGCGCGGCCAATGAGCGGGGGAGGCGCCGCGGCCGGGCACGCGGGAGCCAATGGCGCGAGGCCGGGGCGGGGCTTCCGGCGGGCGGGCCGGGCCGGGCCGTCAGGTGAGGGGCGCGGCGCGCGGGCGGCTGGGCTGCGGGGCGGCCGCGCTCGGCGCCTTCCCGGCCGGCCCCGGGCGGCGGGTGCCGCGGAGGAGCTGCCGGCGGCCGCTGTCCCTGGGCGCGGGCTGGGCCGGCGGGACGGAGGGCGTGAGGCGCCGCTGCTCCCCGGCCGCGGGTGGCGCCTCAGCCGGACCCTGCGGGTGCGCCCCGGGGAGCGCTGCGCGGAGAGGCGGGTCCCCAGGCCCGGTGCCCGAACGCCGCAGCCCGCGGCGGCTGAGTGACATGCGGGTCCCCCCGCCGCGGCCGTGGCGGGGGCGGGGGGCGGGGGGCGGCCGCGGTTCTCAGTCCGCGTCTCCGCCAGCGCGTTTCCGACGCCGTGAAACCCGAGGCGGACGGCACCGGGCCTGCCCCCCGGGGCTCTGCGCTGTGCAGCCCCGGAAGGCTCACCCCAAATCTGTAAGCCAGGAGGAGCAGCTGGTGCCCCCACCAGTGTGACCACAACGAAGGTCACCGCGTGGCCGCCGAGGCGGAGGCGGGTGCAGAGCCAGAGCTTTCTGGCAGGCAAGTCACCCCGCACGCTCTGCTCATCCTGTCCGCGGCGGGCGGTTTGCTCCTCAGTCAGGCGTCCAGGCCTGAGGCTTCTGCAGGTGTGTTCGGGAGGCGCAGGGCTTGGTGACAGGACAGGGGCTGAGGGGAAGGTCACGCGGTAACAGGAGAAAACGATCCTCCTGCTGGCCAGCTTGGGCTCAGAGCCCCACCGAGGAGGGGGCGCTGGGCTCCGCTGGGCGGCGGTGGGCTCTGTCCTGGGTGGGGAAGGGCAGAAACTAGTGATGCACACCAGCCCTCTCGCCCTAGGGGACCCTGGAGGATGTGGCTGGAGACTTCTGGGGAGAGCCGGTTACCTGGACCCTGTTCAGAGACCCCTCTTCAGGGACGCCAGCCCGCGCAGCCGCCAGCGTGGGCTCTCCAAGGGTAAGCCTGCCCCTCTCCTTTGGATTTAAGACTGAACGTTGGGAGAGGCCCCGGATGGGGGCTGCGCTGCGGGGCTCCAGCTCTCCACCGGTCACTGGCAGGAAAGGAATGACCTGCTTTCTGGCACGTCCGGCTTGCAGATGTCCTGGGCGCCTCTGCCGTATTAGTGTCTTGCCGAGTTGAGGGGTAGTATCTACCCCCTTGCCAGCTCAGGACGTGGGAGCCACAGCTGGTTGCCGAGGTGAGCCCAGCTCGGGTCTCTGTGGGACGATGGTGTTCTCCCCCGTCCCTTGGAAAAGGAAAATGCTCCAGAGCTCTTTTTATGCTAGCGCGGCCATGCCCTCTCCCTGCTTTCCTCACATCGATTACAAAGAGTTGTCTCCTCAAAGACAAAGTGGACCAGGTCACCCCTCCACTAGTGACAAGCCGCTGTGCTTCCCCATATGTAGCGAAAGGCGTAATATAGAAACATGCATGTATAGTTCTTTAAGAATATGTACTTTGGGGGCCTCCCCTGGTGGCGCAGCAGTTGAGCGCTGGGCTGCGAAGCTGCCCGCAGCCTCTGCGGCGCCGGTTCGATCCCCAGCTGCTCCCCGGCCACCGGAGGAGGGTCCCCCATGGCATGCCGCCCGCTGCTCCCCCCAGCAGTGTCCTTCGGTCCTTCTGCCTGCTCTGCTCCCCGCTCTGGCTCTGGTGAATTCTCTCACCCTCCCGCGCTTCTGACTGTACCCAGTGCTTGTATAAATAAATAAATAAATAAATCTTAAAAAAAAAAAAAAGAATATGTAATTTGGGCCTCCCTGGTGGTGCAGGTTTAGGTCTCAACACTATGAAGTTATCTCCAGCCACTACAGCAGGAGTTCAATCCCCAGCCAGGGAGGTACCCCCATGGCACAGCAGACCTCTCCTGACTCCCCGCTGCTCCCCTCAGCAATGGATCTGCATGTTCTGCTCCCCACTGTCTCTGGTGAATCCTCTCACACCCTCCCCACACTTCTGGCCTGTACCCCAGCTCTTGTATGCAGAAATAAATAAATCTTTAAAAAAAATAAACCAGTTGGTATTTTGTTGTATGAAGTACAATAATTTATATTATATTGAACCATACATTTGACCACTTTTGATCATTATTTACTACAAAGCAGTCGTTTCACATGACTCAAATATAATTATCCCTTTTTAATTTTTTTTCCCTAACAAGTGTGTGTTTTTTTCTTGTGCCTTTAGTGGCTACTTCCCTTCTGGGAAATTTTGAAGGCCTGCATTAGCGTTCACTTCCTTGATTCTTCCTAAGGGTGAGGTCATAGTAGCTGGATTTCTGATAAAATGATCTGTAGTCGGACTCAGCCTCGCCGCGTCAGAGATGAGTTGCTGGGCTTCCTCTCAAGTTTCTGTCACCCAAGTCTGATTTCTTTTTAAGGAAGGTGCTCACTCTTTTATGGCAGGAGCCTTTGGAGAGATCGCCCTGTTTTATGACTCATCATGGCTGCCCTTCAGGGAGACCAAGCACAATGGCTTTCCCGGTGTCCCCTCCCACCACAGGTTTCGGCCAGGCCTGTGTAAGTTACCAGACTAACATCCAGCTTCGCTTTTTTCTGGGTGGGATTTCTAGATCCAGTGTGATTTCTCAGCTGGAGCAGAAGGAAGCACCCCGGGGCCTGCCACTGCAAGCCTCGGAGCTGAGAAAGCGCCTGAGGGAAGGTCACACAGGTGAGCAGCGTGGCCCCTGTGTCAGGAGGAACGGGGAGCTCCCTGTCCTGTTCTTGTAACAGGGTGGTCCTCAGGAAAGGGAGGGTGGAGCTGAGCAGGAAGAGGAGAAGCTGAAGAAGAGACTGAGGTAGGAAGCAGGATGGAGCCAGGAGACCTGGAGGAGGCGCATGGAGCCTAGAGACACGTGAAGAAACTGCGCTTGTCTTTTGGTCGTGGACTGGGTGACACAGATGTGGGGGAGACCCATGGGGAGGCGACCATGGCAGCTTTTATCTTGATGTTGATTTTGCTCTTTTCCTTCCGGGCTTGTCCGGTTGTTTCTGACCCTTTTCTGTGGGTCCCCACTGGAAGTGCTTTAGACTTGGGCAGGCCTTGGGGCCTTGCTCTGGGCCAATCCCATTTGGATGGACTTTTACCCACGAGGGGACGGGTCACTTTGGGTGCTTGACTTAGAAACTAGATTCTCTGCCTTTCCTGTGTTGTTTCCTAGTTTTATTAAAGTTCCTTCCCGTTAAAGTCTCCTATGTTTTGTGTGGATGCGGCGGATGGCAGAACCCATGTAGAATAGGCAGGTTTGCGGGGTTTGGGCTGCCCCTCTCCCTGTCCTATAACGTTCTGTCAGAAGCTTAAACTTGACTTCTTGGGCCGTCCGCGAAGTCTTCATTTAAATACGCGTTTCACTTTGCCGCATGGCCACGTCAAGAGCGGCAACCCGATTCTGACAACGCATGGCTGCTCTTGAAGGGCGTCGAGGTCACCTCGAGGTCACCTGACCTTCTCAGAAAGGGTCTAGGGCTCATGTTCTCTGAGGCTCAGTGAACTTCGAAAAACTTCCCAAAGTGAAAACCAAAATAGTCAAGTGTAGTAAAAACACGCGTTTTACCTTCCCTCTCCGCTCCTGACCTGCTCTCCCGGCCCCTGATCGCCGCGTTCCCTGTGTCTTCTGCTAGTTTCCAGACTTTAGGATCAGGCGGCGAGACTCGGCCAGAACACCTCCGAGCCGGCAGGGCGGCGCGGACCATCCGCGGAAGGGGCGGAAACAGAGCCCTCTAGTCCTGCTCGGAGCCGGAGCCGGGGCCCGCAGAGAGGCCTGGGGCTGGGACAGCCACATGCAGCCCTTCCCGAGGCCTGGGGCAGGCGCCCCGCTTTGCACGGGAGATGGATTCCAGCAGGCTCCAGGGAGGCTGTGCCAGGAAGAAGCCTGTGCGTGCAGAACGCGGGAAGAGCTTTAACCAGAGGCCCTACTTGTGAGACACCCAGGAACCCACACTGGCGGGGGGCCCTATGCGTGTGTGGAGTGTGGGAAAGGCTTCCAGCCGAGCTCAGACCTCACCAGCCACCTAGTGCCACTCACGCGAGAGGAGATTCAGCGGCAGCTCCACGCTCACCAAGCACCAGCGGACCCACACGGGGGAGCGGCCCTTTGGGTGCCCGCGGTGCGGCAAGGCCTTTGGGCGGAAGCCCCACCTCGTCGTGCACCAGAGGACCCACATGGGCAAGAAGCTCTACTCATGCCTCGAGTGCCACAGAAGCTTCAGCCGGAGCTCCAGTTTCCTCACCCACCCGCGGGCCCACACGGCAGGAGGCCCTACAGCTGCCGAGACTGCAGGGAGCACTTTGGCCAGAGCTCGGACCTGCTGAAGCACCAGGGGACCCACACGGGCGAGCGGCCCTTGGGGTGTCCTGGGTGCGGGAATGGCTTTCGGGACAGCTCCCACGTCACGGACCTCGTCCTTGCTTTGCTCCCACCTGTCGGCCAGGCTCCAGCCTAAACTCACCGTCACCCCATCACGCGCCCTTTCACCCTCATCCCTCGCCCCCGTCTCCTCCGGGCGCGCCTGGGTTTGGGTGAGAGGAGGGGCCGTTTCTCTCCCTGCGCCCCGGCAGGTGCTCGGTAGGTGCCCCGGTCGCCGGGTGGGGAGTGGTGCCCACGGGCGGGAACCCGAACCCGGCTCGCTGGCCCGGCGCCGGGGCGAGGGGACGCTGGAAGCTGAGGGTCTCCCCGAGAAGTCCCTCGATCGCCAAGCTGAAGAGTTTGGACAGTGTCTGGGAAACGGGGAGTCACCTCCGGTTTCCCCAGAGACGCGTGCGATCAGCCCCCGCGCCCTCGGCTCCCCCCACGAGTGCTTCTCCAGGTGCCCTCTGCCCTCAGGAGGGCAAAGCTGGGTCAGGCGCCTGCTGAGCGGAGCCGCGGAGGGCGGCAGAGGCCGGGCTGGCCGCGGGCCCTGGAGAACTGGTCGCCCTGCGCCCCGGTGGATGGGGTGGAAAGGCCAGGGCTACGCCTGCCTCGGGATGAGTCTCCCCAAGCCTCCTGGGCCTTCATACCCCCCCTTTTGTCCAATGTCTGCCGACGGGTGGCTGTTCTCGGGGCGGTGGGCTCCAGGCCCGCGGCCTCCCTCACCACGGCCTCTCGTGAGTCGTGCCCTCGGCTCCCCCGACGAGTGCTTCTCGAGGTGCCCTCTCCCCTCAGCGGGGCAGAGCTGGTTCCCTCCTTTCTGCCCGAGCCTCCCCTGCGTCCTGCTCTTCCCCCTGGCCCGGCCCTCCAGCCTCCTTCCCTCTTCTGCTCGCCCAGGGCTTCAGCCGCCCCCAGAACACGGGCTCCCCGAATGTCTCCGCCACGATTCTGCTCGGGCCCCTCCCCGATGACCCCTCTGGGAACCCAGGGTCTCCCGAGCCCCCCGACTCTCCTCCCGCAGGGACTGTTCTCCCCCACGCCTGCCCCGGGCCTCCTGGCCAGCGCGGGTGGCTCCCCGTTTCCGGGGCCTCCACGCGGCCTCTTTCCTAACTGTGAAAGATCACATGCTTTGGGCAGAAGTTTCCAGAAAATACAGACGTGCCAGAGTGACACACGGGAAACTCCTGTCTCGCCGCCGCCTCCCACCCGCCGCGGCCTGGCCTGGCTCCCCCACCTTCCTTTCACTTCAGCTCCGCAGCGTTGGCTGGGTGCCCAGGACACCCGCGCGGACACGCGGCCCTGGGGCTGCAGGACAAGGTGGACGGTGACGGGGGGCTGCTGTCCTGGCCATACTGTCTGAAATGGAGACAGTCCCAGTGAAAGGGGGGCCCCCTCCCACGTTTTCACTTGCTGCAGCTTCAGCTGCCGCTGCCAGCCTCTCTAGCTGCAGGGAGCTAGTTTTTGAGAGCGGGGGTGGGGGCTCGTGGGTGGGGGGCGCGGGGATGGGGGCATGTGGGGTGGGGGACACGCGGGGTGGGGGACATGGTGGGGGACACACCCACGTGGTTTTTGTGCATCCTGTGCTGTTCTCTTCTGCTCCCGCCGCCCCCGCACCGGGCCTGGGGTGACTCCAGCGGATGGTGCTGTGCGGGGGCCTCGCCGAGGGCGCCCCATCCCCTGCCCTGCAGCCGTGCTCAGTGCACCCGCGCCCCACGTGCAGCTTCCTCCTGGGCACGCGGCCTGCGAGGTGCCCACCAGGCCCGGCGGGACCCCGTTCGGCCTAGCGTGCCCGTGGAGGAGAAAGCCCGGGATCAGGCTGGGGCGTCCCCGGGCCTTGCAGTGTCCCCCTACGACAAAGGGGGCTCCTGCGCCTACTTGAGGCGGGGAGCCCGCGGCCGCCTGGCACCTGCTGCGCCCCCGCTGCCTCGGGGTAGCGACCGGCTCTCCCTCGGGGTACCGCGCCTCGGAGGGCCTTGAGGAGTGCAGGTTGTGGGAGGAAAGATGGGGAGCCTCTGGGGAGGGGAGGCGCGCGGAGACGAGCAGCCTGGCTGAGAGCAGCTCGGGGACGGGGACGGGGCGGGACAGAAGAATATTTCTCAAAGCGTGAACCGAGGACCCCAGGCCGAGGCCCCCCCCAGGCTCCCCCCAACTTCCACCCTGCGGGGGGCTGCCCCGGGGCGCAGGCCGGGACAGGCGCCCGCGGGCCCAGAGGCCGTGAAGACGAACCGGCACCGGGGCCGCCGGGCTCAGCTCGGAGCTCCCACGCGGGGAGAGGGTGCTGGCGCCGCGGAAGCCCGGCCCGGCTTTCCCGGTGACTCTGTCACTGCGTGGCGGGGCCGCGCCCTCCCGGGGAGCCGTGTCGGGGGAAGCCGCTCCGGGCTGGTGCCAGCGCAGAGCACTGCCAGCCGCCCGCCCGCCGCGCTCCGGGTGGTGACCTGGCTGTATCCTGTGAAGCCGCCCCGACACCCCCCCCACAGGCCCCCCACCGCCCCGGCCGCTCCCTCCCGGTCCGCGCGGGCACCAGGCCCTCTGGGCAAGCCCCGCTGGGCCCGCCTGCCCGGGACGCGCGGCTGCAGCCATCCTCGCCTGGGGAACACTTGTCTCCAGCAAGAAGCCGTTTCCACATTTTCCACTGTTTCCACGGGGGGACGGTTTCCGGCTCTCCTAGCAGGCCGCCGCCCAGTCGTGCCCAAGTCCCAGCTGCGGGGACGCCCCTTTCCCTGACCCTCACCCTTGAGAAGCAGCTGCCTGTTTTTGGCTAATTTGATGTAATTTAGACCCGATTCTCACAGATCATTTCAGCTTGCATTTCTGTGATTACCACAGACAGGGAGGAGGCTGTCACACTAGTGTCTTCATCTGCCTTTGCGTAGAGAACAGGGCCTGAATTTAAAACATGACTTTTTTAAAAAAGATTTATTTATTCATGCAAGAGCTGGGGTACAGGCCAGAGATGTGGGGGGTAAGAGGACCCACCAGAGACAGAGTGGGGAGCAGAACAGGCCGACTGACTGAAATACACTGCTGAGGGGAGCAGCGGGGGGACAGGAGGGGTCTGCTGCATCATGTGACTATCTCCCTGGCCGGGGGATCGAACTCGTGCTGCAGTGGCTGCGGATTGCTTCATAGGTTGCGTCTTAACCCCTTGCGCCACCAGGGAGGCCCACATGACCTTTTTTTTAAAGCATTTATTTATTTTTAAAGATTTATTATTTTATTTA